ATAAGTTGTAAATATAAAATTGTAGAGTGCAGGATCAGAGAGGTTCGTGTTTTCTATTGAACTTCTAAATGTAAATATGTTATTATTATTATTATTATTATTATTACATAGTATTTATATGGCGCCAACAGTTTGCGCAGCGCTTTACAATATAAGGAAGACATTACAGTTACAATACAATTCAAGACAAGATGGTAAGGAGGGCTATGTTGATCTCCCTTCTTTACTAATGTTGAAGGCTAAATGGCAAAAATATAAAATAAATATAATTCAAAAACAAGACGGCGCTGGTTGCATATGACACAGTATTGATTTATAATGTATGAAACAAGACTATAGCCGTAGTTTATAAAATCACAATTGTGTGTTCTGTGTACTTTCTACTTTGTACTTGTGATTCGTTTCTAGGAAATTGACTATTTAATGAAGTGAAAATTCAGCAAATGCAACAAGTGCCTCCTATTCTATTGTATAAGAATTTACAAAGTTTTCTTCAATACACATTATTAAAAAAAAAAGTACAAGAGTTTAAGATTACGATAATATAGAGTTACATAAAAGACATTTTGTTTATTTTTAACCATTTACATTTTATTTACTTTTATTTTATTTTTGTTCCTTTTTTTTTGCCTGTTTCTATTTTTTTTTTATAACGCCTACTTTTTTTGTCTCCTTGAAGCAAAAAAACGGGTGGTGTTCCGCCTTGTGCAAAGGGTGGTGGGGATGGGGTGCTAGGATGGTGGGAGTTGGCATCAATGGGTAGCCATAATCGAAGAGGGGAACTCGAGAGGCGAAGGTACTGAAGTGACTGCTGCTGGTGCTACTGGACTCTCTAAGTGGCTTGGGCTTGTGCAGTAAGATATCCTCTATGAAGAAGGATGTGGGTCTCTGGGACACCTGATGGATTGGAGAGGTGAAGTTTAAATTCATGGTGCCAGGGATGGCCACTTGCTGCTGTGGAAGAGGTCTCAGTTGTGGCTCTGGGATTGTCAGCGAGCATGCAGCCAGCAGAGAAGGAGGAGGAGGACAAGGATGAAGAAGGGGCTCTCTTCTATCAGGAGGACAGGTCTTCTTCTAGGGGGCTTTGAGAGACTCTCCAGAGAGCCAATCAGAGGCCGGGGCGGAGGGTGGGAACTGTCAGCCACTGCAGCTCTCTCTGCCAGTCATGGAGCGCTGCTGTCCAAGGTGCTGAAACTCACATTAATCAGCACTAGATTACCCTGTGAGGGGCGCCTGAGAGGCCATTAACTCCATCTACTACTAATCGCCTCATGGAAATGGGCTAATTTATTACCACACAACAAACAGCACACTGACAACACAACACCGACAATACAACCGCACACACACACACAACACACACGTATACACAGCACACTGACAGCACAACACCGACAATACAACCGCACACACACACACACAACACACACACAGGTATACATGTACTGATACCAGAGTACAATGTAACAGCTTCACCGTACCAGGTCCTAACATTTCTATCTGTCAATTCCGACATTTTCCCCCAAACATCTCCCTCAGACTTCTACTTATGTCTAATTTAAAGTAATGTATCTAATCATCTATCTATCTATCTAGACAATTATTGTTTTATCTATCTCTTTCTTACTTTCCGCACCCCCTTCCTCCCCTTGTGAATCCCTTCCATGTATGTGATATTTAACTGTAGATCTTTCTTTCTTTCTTCCTTCCTCAAATTCTTCCTTCCATCCTTTTCTTTTTTCTTCCTTCTTACACAAATATGATTGCATAGCTATATCTCTCTAGTTTAGCAGTAAGGTATATACAGAATACATAAAGGCACATGCAAACAGACAGACACACTCTGTCTATCATTATCTATCTATCTCTCTCTCTCTCTCTCTCTCTATCAATCATCTACAGTATATATAATTATCTAACTATTATGTACCTATCTCACCTAACTATTGAGGGGCGAGGGGGGTACTCTGGAGAAATGTCTCTCTTATACTATAATGGAGCTCGAGCTAATATTGCCTTTCTGTGTCTAGCTATCTATCTATCTATCTATCTATCTATCTATCTATCTATCTATCTATCTATCTATCTCTATGATCTATCTATCTATCTATAGCGGCTAATTTCGCCGCGCAAATTGCTCTAATTATGGATGTTAAACTGGCGGATATTAAACCGAGGACTTTGATTCCACCTACTTTCATTTCTGGAAATCGAGTCACGATCATTACAATTCCAATCACTGCGGTTAATAGTTAAAAGTGTTTTAATAGAGCCGGATTCCTCGCTGGCCCATGCTATTAGATAATTAAAGGAGTCTAGTGCTAATCTCTCTGTTCACCGCCGCCATGGCTCTGTGCTTCAGCAGGTAGGACAAATTAATTACCAGAATCAATTAGGCCTTAAAGGAAGTGGGGGGGGG